AGAACAAGAAGCACAAGTCCGACGGCGGCGTAAGCATCGGCGGCAGCAGCGAAGACACGGCCACGGCGACCATGCCGGCGGCGGGGAGCGGCAGCGTCAGCTGCGACAATCTGGCGGCGGTGTCCGAGGGCGAGAGCAGCAAGAAGCGCGAGCGGCGGGAGAAGCGCGCGTCGCGCAAGAGCCTGAGCCACGAGATCACCCACGCCATCATCACCCACGCCAACGCCGGCGCCAGCGAACCGGCCACGCCGTCGTTGGCGACGTCGTCGTCGCCGTCGCTGCCGTCGCCGCCGCGGGAGGATAAGGGCGCCAAGGTGGTGACCCAGCGCACGGTGGTCCAGCCCTTCGTCCCGCCCGCCGGCGCCGCCGGTCTCCCGGAACCCACGCGCCAAGCCCCCGAGCGGCCCACGCTACCATGACCCCGCGTAACGCACACAAGGCCAACGCGAGGTGGTCGTTGTGTTGTGTGATGTGGGCGTTGTCGCCCCGCCTTTGTTGTAATGGTCTCCCACTTATTTATTGCCAACACTGTTTTTTTTTACCCTTTCTACATGTTGCCTGTGCACAGCGAGTGTTTGTTTGAGCCCACGGGTTGCTGATGCGGACTGTTGCAACCGCTCAAGAAAGCCGGGTTGATACCGCCGGGAGGTGCCAAGGAGCTCGGTTGTCAGGCAATGTGACCATGCGGAGCCATTTTATGGTTGGGTCAACTTAACCAGAACCGTTCTGGTTCACACAACCTAAAAGCGGAATTCAAACGGTCAACTGCGAGGCTGTGATACGCTCGTCCACGCAGATGCCTCGCGCGTTCTCGCACTGACACGGTTCTGCCGGCCAACTGGGAAGCTGGTTGCCCTGCGCTAAATCAGAAGTTGTTGAAGGGCCAGAAATGACGATCACACTACCGCACTTCGACTTTCACCGAACTTTGGCTACGTTTAAAAGGCTGTGCTTCCCTATCTTCAGTCCCTCATACACACAGCAACCACACAACCAACACTCAGTAGTACTGTCTATCACCACTGATCTCACACCACAACTCACCGCACTGCCTAGTTTCAGTACTACTCGCTCCGAGAACTCAACCACGAAAGAACGAAGATACAAGTAGAACGAAGAGCGAAGAGCGAAGAAATAGCGACAGCGAAGGCGATGGCGGCGTGGCAGCAGGAGTTGTGGAGGAGGCAGCGGGCTCACCTGGCCGCTCACGAGGAGGACGCGACGACGCTCTTCGTGCGGGCGCCGCTCACGGCCGTAGCCCAGCACCACAGCCACGGCGTGGCCACAACTACCACTACCACCACGCAAGCGGCCAAGCGTCTCCGTTCGCCGCGCTACAACAGCGGCCCGGCCAGTAACAAGCTGCGGCGGAGCGACCAGGACGACCACATCAGCGCCGCCACCAAGAACGACAACAAGAAGAAGGAGAAGAAGGAAAAGAAGAACGAGAAGGGCAAGGAGAAGCTCCATCAAGTAGTGGTTGTGGACGAAGCAGAGGAAGCTATTGTCGACGAAAACGAGACCACCACTCCCACGAGAAGCAAGAAGAAGCGATCGTCGTCGTTCAAGCGGGCGGTAGAGAAGATCAAGCACATGACGACCAGTCGACACGAAGAGGAGGAAGAAGAGTCAGAAGCGGAAGAGACAGGAGAGGACAGCAGTGCGCTGCGACCACCCCAGACCCAGCACAACCTCGCCGCCACTCTCGGCGTGTTCGACCTGGGGGCAAACCAGGTCAACGCTCTGGCCTGGTACCAACGACTGTCGGCCGCCGCACGACCGCAACGCGCGAGCTGAATTGTAAATACCCCAAATGTAAATATTACAAATTATTCAGCCATTCTGGCCTTTCCAAGAACGTTTTATGACCAACATCAGTTTGATCGAAAAACTGTTTGATCTGTATCGACCCGAAATCGTGCACACAACCACAATGACCGACTTGTTGTCGCTGACGAACGAGCTGCTTCTTCACATCTTTCAGGTACTCTGTCTTTTTCGATCACGTTATTAATATCAGAAATTGATATTAATATTGGTGTGCGGGCAGTTTCTGGAGCCAGGAAAGGAAACGCAGAGTATGCCGGTCGTGTGTCGTCGGTTCCTCGAATGCGTTGAAACACCCCACCTCTGGCGCCTCCTCTGGCTTCGCTGGTTTGCCCTCCCCCTCTTCATCTGTTTTTTTTCCTGTTTTCGTTTTCGTTTTAGTTTTCGTTTTCGTTTTTCGGCTGTGGAACTAAAATTACGCCAACTCTTCAGGATCGCCAGCGACGCAGGCCTTCTCGAGCAGGCCATACAGGAGGGCATCAAAAGGGCGAAGAAAGCCGCGGCGGCCGACCCGATGGACCAGGAGACTCCATCGACAGACGCTGCCGCCGCTGACGCCGCACCAGCCACAACAGGAGATGTGGACGCGTCGGACTTCGCACCGCCGGCAGCCGAGGGCGCAATCACGAAGAAGCCAGTGCAGCGCCTCATCTGCGCCGACGCTATGGCTTACAAAGCCGATGGGTGGAAGTACTACGCCAAATCCGAGGCCAAGTTCAACGCCAAGGTGCTCGACAGTGAAGCAGAAGGTTCGTTCAACCTTTTCTTAATATATATCTTCCTGCCTCACGCAATGCTGACCGCACACGCACACACGCACCACCGCACACGCACACAGTACGAGAAAAAGCGGTCGAGAAGTTCAAAACTGTCAAGTACGTCTCTCTCCCCATCTGGTGCGATGGTAAAGCGATGAGCTCACCAACACCAACAGACGCAACCTGGCGTTGAGTATGGTGGCGCGGGGCTACGACCAAGTGCTCAAGTCGTCGCCCGAGCGGGAATGATGCAGGAGGGCGGGTTCAACGATCCGCTCCTGGGCGCGACTGCACTGCGCGTGGCCGCCAGCCGCGGTCACGTGCACGTCATACGGTACCTGCTGTCGCAGCACAGCAAGCTCGATGTCAACGCAGTCGACGCCAAGTTCACGACTGCCATCTATTGCGCGGCCAAGAACGGTAATTACTCCTTCTCCAGTGTCGGTGTGTGTCGGTGTGTGCCGTGCGATTGCGGTCAGTGAATGCTTCGGGGGTTCAGGTCATGTGGCGGCCATTCGGGAGCTGGCGAGCGAGGGGGCCGATGTGGACACAGGCATCCAGCCGGGCCACTCAGGCGGTTGCGGGTCCGCTCACCTCCCTTTTTATTCAATATTATATAATATCATGGAAAACTAATTAATATTATTTGTCGTGTTTGTTCTTTTGTCTCCCCGCAGTGGCTGCGCGTGTGGGCTCAACCTAGCGCGCCTTTTCGGACCCAACCCGAGAGCGAAGGCCAAGGGCTCGTCGCCGCTCTGGGTTGCGGGTAGACCCTTCTGTCTCTTTCTGTCTCTTTCTGTCGCTTTCTGTCACTTTCTCTCTCATCGCTTTGATCACTCTTCGCTCTTTTTCCAACCGACAGCGTCGAGAGATGAGCCCGAGGCGATCAGAACGCTGGTGGAGCTGGGCGCCAATGTCGACAAGCAGGCGTCAGACGGCACCTCGCCGTTTTATATCGCCTGCAAATGGAACAGGTAACTCTCTTATAATACTGTAAAATTGACCAATGCCCGATCGTGATCATAGATTAATGCGCGGTTGTGATCAAGGTTGGACGCGGTGAAAGCGTTGCTGGACCCGGCCAATACGAAGCTGCCCGACGTGAACGCACCCGCTGGCCCCGAGGAATACGGCGCCTCGCCCCTCTACGTCGCCTGCGACGCCGGCAGGTGCGCCATTCTTCCACAAATCCACCGATGATGGGCGACTCGCCCTTTTGACTTAACTCTCTGTATCTACGCCCAGCGAGGACGTGATCGAATACCTCCTGGCCAACGCCGACCGCATCCGACTCAACGTCGACGCAGGCAACCAAAACGGCGCCACCCCGCTCTACATCAGTTGGTACGAACGTGTGTGTGTGTGTGTGTGTGTGTGTGTGCGTGCGTGCGTGTGTGCGTGCGTACGCGTGTGCGTGTGTGCGTGTGTGCGTGTGTGCGTGTGCATGTGTGTGTGTGTGTGTGTGTGTGTGTGTGTGTGTGTGTGTGTGTGTTCGTGTGTGTCTGTGTCTGTGTGTGCGTGTGCGTGTGCGATTGTGTGCTGACGGCCACTGACTCGACGTGCCGCGCACAGTCAAGCGGGCCGCGTGTCGCAGGTGGAGAAGCTCATCGCTGCGGGCGCCAACCTGGAGGCCCGGCGCAAGAGCGGCGCCACGCCGCTCCTCATCGCGGCCAGCTACGGGCAGAGCGAGGTGGTCGAGCGGCTGCTGGCGGCCGGCGCGCAGGTCAACATCGTGGCCAGCGACGGCTCGACGCCCCTGAGCTGCGCCGCGGCCGAGGGCCACCAGAGCGTGGTGGCGCGGCTGCTGGCGGCCGGGGCTGACGTGAACGGTGGCGCGCCGGAGAAGCTGGCGGTGCGCGAGGCCCAGCGAGGCGGCCACCTCGGGGTCGTTGTTGATCTGCTCAAGGCCGGAGCCGTAGCGCCTCCCGAAGAAGACGAAGAAGACGAAGATGACGGAAACAGCGAAGATGAGGAAGGGGAGGAAGACAACGAAGAGGATGAAGGCGATTACAAGGCGTTGTGCTGGTGAAGGTGAGCGGCCGGTTCAAACGGTGACGAACAACCCTTAACATTTGTTTTTGTGCAATTCCGTAGTATCTCTGACTGCTCTTTGCTAGCAAAGTGGAGGGTAGCAGGCTGCTTAGACTTGCACCAATATCCCGCCACCCCATAGCTGCCCTCTGCATGCTGCCCCCTCCCCCTCACTCTCCTTGTTGCCCTCCTCTTACTTGCCTGTGCAAGCCACTTTCCCACACTGCCAAGAATAAACTGCTGCAACACTCCTTCCTACCCATCACCTCATGCCTCCACAACCATATTTGGTTCAACTCACCATCTGCCAGCAAAATGTACACATGACATTTGGGTGTATGATGCTGTGGGTGATATTGGAAGGAAGAAGAGGTGATGTACATTTTTCAAAAATCAAAAAGTGACACTGTCACTTTTTAACAAACACTCCATTCTTGCTCTCCTCTTTCATCTCTCTTCTTCCTCTCTATTAGCACATCCACAAGCCTTTCATACATAATCCATCTTCTTTGCCACAGTGCTCCTGTCTTCAACTTGTGCTTATTGGGAATTTAATGTTACACTAGTCGCCATTGGAAGGCTGGACAGCTTTGCCCAATCTTGCAGGCCAAAGTTTTGGTCCGCCAACCAACGCACAGCTTCAACGTGATAGGCCCAATGTCGGGGCGTAGGTGTGCGACATAAAAACGGCCAAGTGGCATTTTGCTCAACACTCTCCGCACCCCACCAACATGTTCTCCTCCTCCCTCATCGCTGCCCTCCTCGCTCTCGCCTGCTGCTTGGCCGTGGCCAGCGCCACCGGCGCCACCCACAGCTCCACTTTCTCCGGCGCGGCTCTCCAGGCCAACACGACGGGCGATCTCTCCGGCGTGTGGTCGGCACTCGACGACGGTGGCCAGACCTACACCGCCAAGTTTGTGCAGCAGGGCAACCAGCTGCTGCTGCCCTCGACCAGGTCGAGCGTGCAGTACTCCATCAAGGCCACTCTCTACGGCGGCTACGGCCTCGGCCAGGGTGCCCTGTGGCAAATCAACAACCCCAGCGTGTTCTGCTCCTACGTACGACCCACATCGGATCTTAATCTCATCTTTCTACTTTTTCGTTGTTATTAATTTTATTTTTTTAATTGTTATTAATTTATTTATTTTTAATTGATGGCTCAGACGAACGTGGTGGTGGACGTGGTCGACGCGGGCTTCATGAAGATCACTTGGTTCCCCGCCCCCGCTGCGAATGGCTGCAATGCCTTCGCTGGCGGCTTGACCAAATACACCCGCCCCTACTGATTAATGGTGGTGTTATTAATTGAATCGATCTCCAACACGCGCATCCTAAACTCAGAAGTCCGCAAGCACAAAGTCCGCCGCACGGGCGCCGATCACGTTGGCCGTGAACGCGTTGCCGCCGCCCACTTGCGCGGCGAGCACCGACGCGTCGGCGATCTTGAGGTTGCTCACGCCGATCACGTTGAGTCGCTGGTCGACCACCTGGCCCATCTTGCACGTCGACACCTGGTGGCTGTCGATCCGCGCCGCCATGCGGAGCTGGTAGGTCAGGCGCTTGAGAGCCGCAGAGAAGGCCGGGTCGCTGCTGGCGGTGCCGGCCAGGCGGTCGGGGAACAGGTGCTTCCACCAGTCGGCGCCGTGGGTGGCAAGGCCCTGGTCGAGCAGCTCCAGGTCCGACGCGGTCGGGTAGGCCATGGCGAAGCGCACGCTGCTGCCCTCGTCGGCCAGGACCTGGTTCATCTGGGCGTAGATCTCGTAGCCCATGTGGTAGATGAGCAGGCCCGAGATGGTGGCCGAGGCACCCACGCGGGCGGCGTCCCAGAAGGCCTGGCCGGTGAGCGCCGGGTTCGAGTAGTCGACGAAGCTGCTGTAGAACACCTTGGGGAAGTCGAACGCGTTCTTGGTGCCGATCTGCACGTAGCCGGTGCCGTCGAAGCGCAGGTCGTCGATGCCCAACACCACGGTCTCGTTGGTGGAGCCGATGTTGTAGGCCGCACCGACCGACCGCGGGAAGAACATGCCGCTGGTCGAGTAGAGCAGCTGCGCCCGCCGCACCGAGGTGGTGTTGCTGCCAGCGGGCCTGTTGGGGTCGAGCTTGTGGAATCCGAGGAATGCGCCGCCGTTGAAGCCCATGTTGCCCGCCATCAGCGCGCTGCCGCTCATGAAGGCCGTCAGCTCCGCCCTGTCGCCAGCCGTGACGTTGGCGATCATGAATGGCGCGTAGTGGTTCTTCAGGTTGCGACCCACCTGCGTGTTGTTGTACACGATGGGCTCCACGCCGATCGAGGCCAGGTAGTCCGCGTCACCGTAGCCCGAGCGCTGCAGGACCGCCGGCGTCTGGAACGCGCCCGCGGCCAGTATCACGCCCTTGCGGGCCAGCACCACCTTCGACTCGCCGTCCTGGTAGAACTCGATGCCGGTAGCGACGGGCTGCGACCACCAGCGGCGGTCGGTGTCGAAGATGACGCGCGAGACGTAGGCCCCGGTGAGCACACTTAGGTGGGGGCAGGCCGGGCTGACGCCGTGGCCCTCGCGGTCCAGGCAGTCAGGCCCGAGGAATGTGTTGGCCGCATACTTGCGGACAAAGGTGCCATTGGCCAGCTTGTTGACGAAGAACTGGTACTGGGAGAAGGCGCCGACGCTGTTAACGCCGTCGAGGTCGTTGTAGTCAAGCTGAGGCGCCGACTCGCTCGGGTCCTCCACGTTGGGGCCGGCCGCGTAGTTGGCAGCGTTGACCAGGTAGTCCAGTCCGCCCGCTGCGTACTGCACGTCGGCCACCCTGCGCACGGCCTTGAGGAAATTCTGCGACGTCGGGGGTTTGCGGGTTTCGCGGTGGGGCTGCAGCGCGGCCTTGACCTCGGCGTAGTAGGGCTTCATCTGGTTGTAGCTCCACGACGAGGGCCACCCGTTGGCCGGCAGGTCGTACATCCACCGGCCGCCATGGGCCAGGATCATTGTATTGACGCTGGTGCCGCCGCCCAGGCCCTTGCCGCTGTTAGGCGCGTCGGCCAGGCCGTAGCGGCCGGGGTCGCCAGCCACGCGGTTGGGCCACACGTAGGTGGTGTCGCTCGAGAGGCCGATGTTGTTGCTGCGGGAGTTGAACCCGCCGAAGGTGCCCAGCGGATTGTAGATGTTGGGGTCGTACTGGGTGTTGTCGCCGGCCTCGAGAAGAAGCACTCGGGCACCCGACCGGGCCAGCTTGCCTGCGAGCACGGCTCCGGCGCCGCCACCGCCTGCAATGACGTAGTCGTAGCTGCGGCGGATGTCGGTACCGGCCTGGGCCAGCGCCAGCATCATCACCACCAGGGCGAAGAAGGAAAGCAGAAGCTTGTTCATCGCGTCGGTCGCGAGTGCTCCCTTGAGTGATTAGTGGGGTTGGTGGGGTGTGTTTGTGACTAAATGTTTGTGTGGTTTTGTTTATTTAAGTGGCTGCGTTGTCTCCGATTAGACCCGCCTTTCGGCTGGAATGTCCCGATTGAATGCCTACATGCAACCGACGAGTCACCGTGCAATGGCACCGTGTCGTGCGGCTATTCCTGGTCGAACATTTGATAACGATTGGCTGGGTGGCCATCTCTTATTTTCGGAAACCCAATGATTGGTGAGGTGCAATTTTTCAAGTCAACCAACACAGTTCATCTTGCTTACCGGCGCGACCAGAGGTTCCTATTGGCTGTCAATTTAGAGGTCCGTGCTGCAACGAGACCGTTCCACCAATGACGCGTTGCAGAGCTCCAGGTTGCACTGGTTCAGCCCTCATCAGCTCCACTGTCTGGAGGTGATCGGAGTAGTCAACTTCATCGAAGAAGCAACAAGAAGAACAAGAATCAAAGAGTTAAAACAACAACGTAAGACGAAGACAAAGATGAAGGGGCTGAGCACGACGGCCTGGCTGCTGGCCATCTTCCTCACTCTGTGCGCCGGTCCGAAGTGGCCAGGGTGCGACGCGGCCGACATCAGCGGGGAGGGTCGGGCATGGCTCCAGGGCCTCCACACCACCCTGTCCAATTCCTACGTCTTCACCCAGGACAGCGCCACCATCATCTACACGCCCACGACCGACCTCGACGCCGCGTTCGCCTCGCTGGGCCGCGGGCGCATCGGCTTCGTCAGTACCCCGGCCGTGCTGGGCTCCACCCGCTCAACTGGCCAGGCCCAGCGGGGAGTACTCCACAGTGTGCCCCTCGCCGCCACAGCCATGGTCATGGCCTACAACGCCTCCGAGCTCGGAGGCCAACTGGTGCTCGACGTGGCCTCAACGGCGGCCATGTGGCGGGGGGACCTGACGACGTGGGACGACTCGCGCCTGACGGCCCTCAACCCGTGGCTTGCCGCGACAGGGCCTGTGCGACTGGTCTACTGCGGCGACGCCGACGGCGAGGGCGACCTCCTCCTGCGCTTCCTGGCTCGGGTCGACCCCGACCTGGCTGCGCTCCTCGCGGGCGGCGCCGGGTTTGCCGGGCTGGAGCCGGTCCAGGCCGGCCGGGCGGTCCAGGCCTGCTCGACCGAAGACAAGCTGGCGGCCATAGCCACTGGAGGCGAGTCCCCGGCGCTGGCGTTCATGATGCTCCCCGAGACGCTGGGCCGCGACGAGCTGGGGCTGGCCAGCATGCGCGTCACCGACAAGACCGGAGCGCTGGTGGTGGTCGCCGTGGCCGCCGGGGCGCAGCTGACGGCCGTGACTAACGCCATGGCGCTCACACCGCAGTCGTTGCGCGACATCGTCAACGACGGCACCAACGCGTCGTGGCCGCTGGCCGCCGTCGTCTCAGCCGTGGTCGATTCCGACCTGGGCCTGGCGATCAACAACTGCTACATGATCAAGCACGTGTTCGACTTTGCCAGCTGGCTGCAGGTCAACGACGGCGCCATCGCGCAGCTCGGGCCGCTCGGCTACGCGCCCCTGGGACCCTACCATCGGCGCATGACCCTCGAGCAGATGACCGAGGTGACCTGCAACAACAAGACCGTGGTCTCTACCTCTTACCTGCTCGGCTCGGGGCCGCCGTTCGAGGTCTACAACGCGCTGGCCGACGAGTACTCGTCGGCCGGCTTCCTGCTCAAGTACTACGAGAGCGCGTCGTCGCTGCAGGCTATCACCGACATGATCGACTCGTCGGCCGACTTTGGCACCTCGGGCGCCACGCTCACGCCCGAGCAGAGCGCCCTGGTGCCCGACGCCGTGGCGGTGCCGATGATGTCCTACGGCATCGTCTTCGCCTACAACCTGCCGGGGCTGCTCGACCAGCCCCCGCTGGTGCTCGACTTTGCGACCGTAGCCGACATCTACATGGGTCGCGTCGGCGCATGGAACGACTCGCGCATCGCTGCGCTCAACCCCTCCATCGCGCACCTGCTGCCTGACGAGCCCCTGATCGTACTTTACGTGACGACGGCCCAGGTGCTCATCAGCCTGGCCAACACGGCCATCAGCCACGAGGTGCCCGAGTACGCCGCGGCCGTGGGCAACTCGAGCCGGTCGGACATCTACCCCGTGGTCTCGCTGGCGCCCAACCGCACCCTGGCCGTGCCCAACCTGGGCGCCACCCAGGCCGCACTCAACTCGGTGCCGTACCTGTTCGGCGCCAGCAACACCTTCGCGGCCGGCACGCGGCCCAACATTGCCATGGCCTCGCTCGTCGGCGGGTTCTCGGCGGGCCGCGCGCTGGCGCCCACCAAAGCCACCATCGTCAACGCCATCTCCAACGCGACCGACCCGAGCTCGCAGCAGATCTACTTTGCGCCCGGCGCCGAGAGCTGGCCCGTGGTGGCCACCAACGCCTTCATCGTACGCACCCGGTCGATGCCGAGCGTGGTCAAGGCCCGCGGCCTGGCCGAGTGGATCTACTGGATCCACTCCTCGGAGGCGGGCCAGACCATCGCCGACGCGCACCAGGTCATCCCCTCGGGCAGCTCGCCGGTGCTCATGCGCCGCATTACGGCCGCGGTAGTCAACATCACTGTCGACGGGGTCGCGGTGAGCCCCCTGGCCGGCTGCGCCGACGCCGCATCGGGCGTGCTGTGCTCGGAGCGCGGCAACTGCAGCTCGGCGGGCCGGTGCGTCTGCGAGGTCGGGTGGCACGGCGACCTGTGCGAACTGGCAGCGGCCAGCGGCGACGGCTCGAGCGACACGACGGCGTTGACTGTGGCCCTGTCGACGGTGGTGCCGGCAGCGGTGGTGGCCCTGTGCCTGCTCGCGGTCTGCTCGGCCCTGGCGTTGCTGGTGGTCCACCGGCGAGGGCGGCTTGACAACTACGACTGGGAGATCGACCCGGCCGAGCTCGAGCTGGGCGACCAGCTGGGCGCGGGCGGCTACGGCGTGGTGCACAAGGCCCTGTGGAAGGGCACCGAGGTGGCGGTCAAGATGATCGGCGGCGACGCGGTGGCCTACGGCAGCGTCCAGGTGGCCAACTTCCGGCGCGAGGCCCAGGTCATGTCCGCCCTGCGCCATCCAAACGTGGTGCTCTTCATGGCCGCCTGCACCAAACCACCCAAGATGTGCATCGTCATGGAGTTCATGTCCCTCGGCTCCCTCTACGATGTACGTCTCAGCCCGAGTCGCGTGTGCGGTGTGCGCGTGTTGTGCGTCTTGCCTTGTCTCGTGTGCGGCGGTGCGTGTGCGGTGAAGACTAAAGCACTGAGCTTTCGTGCAGTTGCTCCACAACGACCTCATCGCGGACATTCCGATGCTGCTGCGGCTCAAGATCATCTACCAGGCGGCCAAGGGCATGCACTTCCTCCACTCGTCGGGCGTCGTGCATCGCGACCTCAAGTCGCTCAACCTCCTCCTCGACTCCAAGTGGAACGTCAAGGTCTCCGACTTTGGGCTCACCAGCTACAAGGAGGCCCTCATCGCCGGCCGTCGCAACAGCGGCGGCGGCGGCGGCGGGGTGGTCGGCACAGTGCAGTGGACCGCGCCCGAGGTCTTGGCCGACCAGACGACTGTCGAAAGCCCCGACGGCGTCGGCCGCGTAGACACCTTCATGCGCGCTGACGTGTACTCGCTCGGCGTCGTCATGTGGGAGGTGCTGACCCGGGCCGCGCCCTACGAGGGCCTGCTGCCGGCCCAGGTGGCAGTGTGGGTCATCAAGTACAACACGCGGCCGAGCGACCTGCCCGACGCCGGCGGCAAGCCCGAGGCCGCCGCCAACGAGATGGAGCGCGAGTACATCGAGCTGATGCGGGCCTGCTGGCACCAGGACCCCGACCGTGCGGCCCTGCTTCCTCGACGTCATGACCCGCGTCTCGCAGATCTCGGGCGACACCATCACCGGCGCCACCACCACCTCGGGGCAAAGCAGCAGCAGCAGCGCCGGCCTCAGCAGCGCCATTGCCGCCACGCCCTCCACCACCACCAGCCATAGCAACCAGTCGCGTAGCGACACCTCGGACGACGGCACCGTGGCGGTGGCGGCCCCAGGCCGCATGCCCAGGGCCGATGTGTGCTTCGTCGTGTGCGATCTGGCGCGGCTCGATGCGGTGTGGCACCGCGACCCGGCCGCGGCGCGGGAGCTAATCCGGGCCTACATCGACATCGTCCGACAGGCCGGCCGCCGGCACCGTGGCCACCTCTTCTCGCGGCCCATCTACCACAGCGGCGGCACGTTCCTGCTGGCATTCGAGCGCTGCGCGGCGGCGCTCGACTTTGCACTCGACGTGCGGGGTGCGGCCCAGAGCGCCAAGGCGGCAGCGGGCGCGGCCGTGGACCACCTGCGTATCGGCATCGCGCAGCACCCGGGGCCGAGTCCGCCGGGGGCCGACGACCCGTTTAGGCGGGGCTACCAGGAGTCGTGCTATGCCGCGGCCTGCCGCATGTGCACGTCGAGCGCCACGGGCCACGGCGCCATCGTGTGCTCGGCCGACCTTGCGCGCCAACTCGCCGCTCCGCCGGGCCTGCGCTTCGTAAGGCGAGGCGAGACGGCCATATTGGTGGACAGCCAAAGCAATGGTGGTGGTGACGGCGAAGATGACGACGACGACAACGACAACGACAGCGAAGAAGATGGTAACGACCACCAGCAGGGCGGCCTGTGCTCATCGAACATGTGTTCGTTCATCATCAGCACGGACAAGCTGGTCAGGAGCGACGTCAAGCTGGGCTCGGGCGGCTACGGCCGGGTGTGGAAGGGCACCTACGGCGGCCAGACGGTGGCCATCAAGACCCTGCACGGCGGCCAAATGGACGAGGCGCAGCTCCTGGCCATACGCGAGGAGGCCGCCATGCTCTACAACGTCGACCACCCCTACGTCGTGCGGTTCATCGGCCTCGCCCTCTCGACCCGCGACGCCGGGTGCGGCCCCATGCTGGTGATGGAGTACCTCAAGGGCGGCAACCTCGAGCAGCTGCTCGAGAACTCGTCGCGCAAGCTGAGCTGGGCCGACCGAATGCGAATGCTGTGGACCGCAGCGCTGGGCCTCGAGGCCCTCCACACCGAGTTTGGCATCGTGCACCGCGACATCAAGCCCTCGAACCTGCTCGTGGACAAGATCAACGGCAGCTACGCGATCAAGATCGCCGACTTTGGCTTCGCGGCGCACACCCACGGCAACACCACGGTGGCCACCACCCAAGCGGGCGGCACCCCGCTGTGGACCGCGCCCGAGTTCTACGCGCCCGCGACCGACCACCCATCATCACCATCATCGACCACCGTGCAACCGCAGATCACGAACAAGGCCGACGTGTTCTCCTTCGCCATGGTCATCTGGCAGGTGCTCACCCGCAAGCTGCCCTACGCGGACGATCACGACGGAGGCAACGGGGGCGACCACCAGAGAAGAAACCTGCACGGCGTGATCGAGGCCATTCTGGCCAACCGCCGCCCACCGATCCCGAGCGACTGCCCACCAGATCTGGCGGCCCTCATCAAGAAGTGCTGGCACCGCAACCCGGCCAAGAGGCCCGATATGACCGCAGTGAGTATGTTCTTTGGCGGCATGGTGGGGATGAGTGAGCCATGAAGCGCCCAACGGGGCTTGTGGTTCAAAATGAGTCGTTCCACAGGACGCGCCCCAAAAGCGCGGTTAGATTACTCCGTACTCCGAGACTTTTTCGACCTCATTTTTTTGTTCCTCCGGTCTCCAACAAAGATGAGAGTGTCGCTGTTGATTTTGGTGGTTCTTGTAGTTTCGCTCTTCTGGCTGGTGGTGGACTGGTGGCCTCTTCACGACTTCGCATCTTCAACAGGGAACTCGGCAACTTCTTCAACTCCTTCTTCTTGCCTGCGGCCAAGTCCGCCGCGACCAAGGGTCCGCATCGGGTGGTACCACCTCAGCGCTTCCAACTCGGTCGGCGTCTTGTCCGTCGCGCAGGACCACCGCACCCACCCCGCGCAGCTGCCGGTCCAGCTACTCAACGTCAGCTTCAACGAGCTGCGACCCGACCCGCGGCTGCGCGTCTTCCAATTCCACATGGGCGTCGACACCAACTTTGCCGTGCAGGACGACCCGCGCACCTTCGAAACCGTGGAGCTGGCCTACGACGATCACGGTGATCGGTCGCAGACTGTGCCCACCAGAGTCAAGCTCGCCGCGCAGAAATGCGCCGCGTTGCAGATCACCGGATTGACGGCCCGATTGAAGGCGCTGAAGCACTTCCAGTTTGTCGACGCCATCGCACGCTGCGCATTCCTGATCGACGACGAGCTGGTGCTGCGACTGAGCGACCACGAGCGCGCTCGGGCCTCGTTCGACGTGCACGCGTGTAACGACACTGTCCACTTCCCGCTCGCCGAGGTGCTCCACTTCCCCCAGGCTTCGCCCATCATCGCGGGCGGACTGCTGCCGCGGCCGACCAACGGCTTCCCCTCAGCGCCATGGGCCGGCGCCGAGGTGCAGGTCGTGCGCGCCCGCGGCCCCGACGCCACGCTGCGGGTGGCGGCCGTGGTCTTCAAGAAGTTCACTTGGCTGCAACCCGACGACGACCTGTGGCTCCTGTGGATGCTCGACGTGGTGGGCGTCGATCACGTGGTGATCAACATCGCCACGCGCGACTTGCCGATGGAGGTGGTGCGCCAGTCCATGGCCCAGCACGAGAGCCTGGCCGAGCGCGTGACGCTGGTCGACCTGGACTTTCCAAATCGCAAGTCCAACCACTCGTTCGACTACCTGCTCCAGGTCCAGGCCCACGAGCCCTTTCTCCGCTGGCAGGCCGACTTTGACTTCATCTTTCTGATCGACCAGGACGAATTCCCGCAGCTCTTCGACATCGACAACGCCAAGGCCAACCAGCCACGAATTGACATCAAGACCTTCATCGGCCGCAACAGAGAGCGTTTCGAAGAGCAGGGCCAGGTCTACTTCGCCCGGCCGTTCGTGCAGCGCTCGGAGAGCAACCATAAGCCAGACCCGCTGCTGCCCACCTTCCTGCGGGAGCTGGCGCCGCTCGACGGCCTCGTGACCAGCGCCGTGTGGTCGGGCAGGAGCAAGCCCATCGAGAAGCTGGGCAAGGCCCTGTTCCCGGTCGGGGCCGCCCTGCGGCCGTACCTGCACTACAACGACTACTGGCCGGGGCTGACCCCCTTCGACTGGCGGGCCGGCCACTTGCTCCACGTGCGGGAGCCGCTCAGCGACCGAAAGGATGCGGCGCAGCTCCAGTGGTTTGTGGACGAGTTCGCCAGGAGGAAGGCTCCTGATTATATTATATTATGATATATTTATATATTTATCATAAAAACATTAATCGTGTGCATATATCCCCGTACTCACGTGGTCCCCAACACAACACACACAGCCACGTCAGCGAACGCACACACACACACACGTTTGACGGTGTGCGTGAGCGTGGACTAGCAGTTAGCCGCGGTAGAGGAGGGGTGTTGTGTCGGACTCGGCGGCGGCGGCGTGAGCGCGAGGGTCGCCGAGCGATGGGTCGCCTCCGGTGTTTTGTCGGCCGCCGTAGGAGCTGGAGCTGGAGCTGGAGTGGTTGTCTACGTTGTGGTAGTGGTTGTTGTGGCTGTTGTGGTAGTTGGTGTTGTTGTTGTAGTTGTTGTAGTAATAGTGATCCACGTCCTCGTCCTCGTCCTCGTAGTCCTCCTCCACTTCGGTCGGCAGCTGGTGATGGTGCCGCAGCACTGCCACGTCGCGCGCCCAAAACCGCCGGAAGATGAAGTTGTGCACCTTCGAGTACCTGTTCCCCACACGACACACACACGAAATACGACACACACGACACACACACGACACACATGCTCAAGGTGTGAGCGCGTGGACGGAGAGAGGACGCGGAGCGTGTGTGCGTACCAGAGCATGAGAAGGAGGAAGAGGATGAAGGAAGCCAGGGCCGAGTAGCCCATAAGGGGCCAGAAGCCCACGGAAGGCAGGTCATCCAGGTTCATCCCCATCAGGCCGCCCACCAGCACCAGCGGCAGCGTCACCGTTCCTGTGCACCGCGTGTCGTTGTGAGCAACGCACACGACACACGACACGCACAGACGCACGCACCGCACGCACACAACAATAACAACAACCGCACACGACACGACACAATAGGAGGAGTGAAGATCGAACCGGCGATGGAGATGAGTGTCTCGAAGCGCTGCCGCCGGGCCTCCTTCATGCTCTCGATCTTGCGTCGCGCCAGCTCCCGCTCCTTGGAGTTCTTCTTCTCTTCGTGCTTCTTTCGCCGCTGTTCCTCCATGTACACCTGCGCAACACGACACACGACACACGACACACGACACACGACACACACCGGTTGGAACACGACCACAACGCGTTGGGGGAAACAAAGGGAGCGAAAGGGAGCGGGCACCGATTCGACGATGTTGAGCACATGCTCAATTTCCTCCCTGATCTTCTGCTTGCCGCTCGGAATGCTCAACACCTTTCTGAGGGTGGTGAAGTACTGGGCATATTCGGACATGCCGCTACACACGTCGCTCGACATACCCAGGGAGTACTTGATCATTTGCATCTGCGCGTGTTGCGTGTGTTGCGTGTGTCGTGTGTGTGTCGTGTCGTGTCGTGTCGTGTCGTGTCATGTGCGGAAAGGTGAGATAACAGAACACGCAAACACGCCTCGCCGCACACGCGTGTTTTTTCCAATGCCGCGGTACCGCGACGGAGCGTAGCCGGAGCCTGTCCTTCTCGAGCTTGTCAAAGGTCGACAGGTGCAGGTGCTCGGCCACCTTGGCCGACATGTGCGACAGCTCCGACAGAACACTTCCCTCGCCCCGCCTGCGTCATTCGCGGGTCGTGTCGTGTCGTGTCGTTGGTCGTGTCGCGTGCGGTGTGAGAAACAAAAAGACGAAGTGTGCGTGTGCGTGTTCGAGAAGTGGCGTACGTGTGCACGTCCAACAGGAGGTAGATGCCCTGGTAGACCTGCAACCACCAAAAAATAAATAAATAATACGAGAATTCGGTGTAAAGGCAGTCCACTCGGTGTCGCACCTTGGGCCACGTCACGCATTCAAACAGCGGATTGGAGTCCTCGGTGAGCCAGCTGAAGGAGACGTTGCCTTCGACCGACACACCCAGGTATCTAGACACGACACGAATACGCACACCGCACACCGCACACCGCACACCGCACAATAAGGTCAGTGAGGCAAGAGGTCGGGGTCTCGAGTGAACCGGGGTCGAACCTGTTGCGGCGGTGCGGCAGGATCTTTTCCAGCGTGTGGTGGTTCATCGCCTCCGGGAGCAGCACATCCGGCGTCATGCTGCTCACATTGAATGCTGGTCGTACACACAGCACACACACGACACACACGACACACACGACACACACAGTGACCCATTAGTTTAGATAGAGAGAAGAGGTTGTCTGTAAGTGGAATGGTACCTCGTGTGAGATGCCGCAGATAGTCGCGCAGATCTCTCTTGGTGGGCTGCCTGTCGATCACCACCACCGTGTGGTGACTGGCGTACTATTGCCCCCCCCCCAATGGCTCGCGTCAGTTGTGTCGTGTGCAGTGTGTGCGTTGTGCGTGAGTGCGGTGAGTGCGGTGCGTGCAGTGAGTGCGGTGCGGTGTGTGCGGTCGTGCGTGTGTTTCCGTGGTTAGTAGAGTGGGTCGGAATGCAGGCGTACGGCAGAGTAGGAGATGCGGCGAGGTGGGTGGAGCGAGTTCTCGTGCGGCAAATGGACCAACCAATTTCCGATGCAGCTCAACGATGCGAAGCTGCCTTCATAGCTGTGAACCCGCGACACGACACGACACACACGACATACCACACACACGCGCGGTCACACGGTGGCCAGCACAGTAGAGGCGCGGGTCCGAGGGGGACGTGCATAGGGTGGGCCAGCTTCCCCAGGGAGTCGAGGTGCGCGCTCGCATAGGCGCCGCTCGGCTTCTGGGCGTCCTCCTGGCCCAGCGTCCACCCGTAGAATATGCCCCGCACCTTGTGCTTGAACTTGGCCATGTAGAGCCACCTGATCACACCTTCAATAAGCACGACACGACACGACACGACACGACACGACACGACACACGTACGATCGGAGCTGGTCGAGGGCGAGCGGACAGGTGGGGTCGGGCTTCCAATCGAGGTGGAAGAGGAGGAGTCCGTTGCCGAGCGGGTAGAGAAGGAGCTCCACCTGGCTGATGTCGACACGACACGACACGCGCCGCTCACGCTCCTTCTGTTGTTTGCCATTCCCTTCGGCCTCGGCCGCAGGCTCCGTTTGCCACCCGCCGAGCAGCGCTTCCTCGTGCGGGTCGCCGCCGAGCGTGTTGCTCGAACTGCGCGCCACTCGATCGTCAACACATAGCACGACACACACAGCACTCGCACAACACGACACACGCACTCACGCACACACCTTTCGATGGATATTTTGTTGGCGTCGGCGTGAGCCCATAGGCGCGTGTGCGGGAAGACGGTGCGGCGGACGTGGTCGGCCATCACCAGCCGCTGGCACTTCCACACCTCCACGCCCTCGAAGCCCTTCATGTCCTCGCTGCTCACCACCTCCTCCATCAGCTCCTCGTCCCCGTTGCGCCCCTTGGCCGCGGTCCGCCTCGCAGCGGCGGCGGCGGCGCCGCCCGCGAGCCCAAAGGCCTGCTCCCGGGCCGAGCGATTCTCCTGGTAGTACTTGACCGTGTCGTCCCACCCCAGGATGTGCTTCAGATATGCCGAGAGCTCGCCTGTTCGCGCGCGATCGTGAGTGCCTGCCCACAACACACGCACACGCACACGCACACGCACACGCACACAGAGTGGCGGTACCGATCTCGAAGGGGATGGTGCGGTTCATCTCCCAGAGAAATTCGCGCTGGCCGGTCTCGGGGTGGACGACGAAGCGCTGAGGAGCTTGTCCATGAGGAGGTACCGCGCCAGGCGGCTCTTCTCCCCGGGCGCCCTCCCGGCGTCGCCCCAGTGAAACGGCACCACCAGCGCCGTCTGCGCCACCAGGCAATCATATGACTGGTGCTCCTCTTCCTCTACACGTTGCGCACGACTTTAATCAATATTTGGATTAATTGTTATGGAATATAACAATATAATAAACAATATAATTCCAAAGTATTCTTTTGTAAAAAAATATATTTGCTAATTTGAATCAAATTTGAAAAATGGCGCACCCATGGGCGGTGTTGTGGCTCGAGTGCTTGCTGTTGTGTGGCAGGTGATGCCGGGGGCGGTGGTGGAACTCCATCGTCCTCTCTGGCCCAGGAGCACCTCCGGTGGCAAACCGACCGCAATTCAAGTGGTTTATGTTTTCTCTCTGTCGACAGAAACGTTTTTTCTCTTTTTTCTCTTGTCGGCAGCTTTTCTTTCTTCTCTCTTGGTTTCGCTCTTCGTTTTCGTTCTTCGCGTGCGGGGGTGAGCCTTCACTTCCGCTCCTTCTCCTCGGCGGGCGCCTCCTCGAGATGGAGCTCCTCCAGCTTTTGGCGGATCTTTTGGACGTCCTCCAGCGCCACAACTCCGTCCTCGTCGGCGTCCAGCACACGCAGCACGTTCCTGATCTCCGCATCCGACGGCCTGTATGTGGGCGAACCGCAAGACATCAGCGTGTTGCGTGCATGTGCGGTGTGTGCGGTGATGTGCTTGGTGCGTGTGCGACGATGAGTGTCGTGAGGGGAATGTACCGATCCTTGAGGAGCGAGCAGGCGAGTGCGACCTCCTCGGTGGTGATGACGCCGTCCCTGTCCTTGTCGATAAGGACCATCTTGTCGCCCAGCTTTTGCTCGGTCTCGGACAGCTCCTCCCGCAGGTCGTCGAGCAGGTCCTCCAGCTGCTGGCCCAGCCTCTCCTTTGATCGATCCTGCATTTACGCAAATTTTTGTGGTGGTGAGAATCGCACACAACACGCCAACGCACGCTACACACACAGCACTGCCAACGAATATAAAAACTGCCATACCGAGCGCGTCTTGACCGCCTTCACAACCGCATCGACCACGGTGGCCGTCTCCTGGTCCTTGAGCGTCTGAAATGGCGCGGTGGGATGGATTGGGTGAGCAATAGCGAATGGAATGCCACGAATTCGAAAGGAATGTAAACAAAATACCTTGGCGCGGGCGAGCAGGGCCTCGCGAGCCTCAAGCTGTTCGAGGGCCTTCCGTTCAGCCGAGACGGGCGAGGCGAGCACGGAGAGCGCCTCGGCCACGTCACGCAAATGCTCGGCGTCCTCCTCGGGGATGACGCTGCCCGGACTCTCCAACGCTTCGATCTCCTTGAAGGTCTCGGCCTCCTCCTCCAGCTCCTCCCTAGGCGCGACACACGACACGACACGCAACACGCAACGCGCGCGTGGTCAGAACAAACGAAAACTCTAGATGGCAAAGAAGAACAAACAACACTGTACCTGAGCTTCTCGTTGGTGTTGCGGAGTACTTCGAGCTTGAGCTGTCGGTCGGAGGGCGTGCCCTTCTGCAGGTCCATCTCCAGCTCGGCTTCCTCCACGACATCCTCCGGCAGCGTCGATATCGTCTCGCGCAGAGCTGCGTCCACCTTCTGCTCGGCCCCGTAATCAGTCAGTCAAATGGTGTGTGTGTGTGTGTGTGTGTGTGTGT